ATGATTAGCATCCGATTCCACACCCTAAAAACTTATAATATTTTATTAACTAACATAAACATTTTCCTTCAATGGAGTCTTATATCATAGACTAATGAGTACTTTTACAATCAAATGTACAAAATGTTTATGAATTTTAACTATTTCTGCTTTAGATTAACAGCATTCCTGCAAAACAATTTTTGCATTAGATCTCATATTTCTAGGCAACATAAATTTCTTCGCATTAATGGCACCCAAAAATAGAGTTTGAACATTCTAAATATAAGATTTAAATATAGACTATATTACTTTAACATGACATTGTAGTTGAATCTAAAAATTCATCTTATTAACCTATAAATCCTATAATAAAATGATACTGTTTACATTCTTATGTTTAGCAATTGACAAGAAATTGAACAAAAAATGATACAATAGTTAACCTGGTAAAAGGTTTATTGATTTAAATCATTACTAATCAGAAAGCTATCTCATTAAATTAATTAAATTTATTGCAAAATGAGTTTAGATAAGCAGCTTAAATAAAATGAGCTTAGATTTTCTGAGATGGAAAATATGCAGTCTTCGTCACTACAGGAGCAAACTCCCGTTTAATCACCAAAGATCAAGTAGATTCCTCTATTAGAAGTAATTAAGATATTTCAAAGTATCATCTAATATTTAGAGATTGATCAGAATATTACAAAAAGGGCAGAGGACCAGGAATGAAAAAGACTTGGAGCATTTAGTCCCTTTAATAAAAGAAATTCAATTTTTCAAGGAGAGGGATATAAAGGATTAAGATTTCGTTGAGATAGTTTCATGCCTAACATATGAAAACTTCAAAATGGGAGATACAGTATTTGAATGGGGTACAAACGGAGATAAATTTTACATAATAATTGAAGGTCATGTTAGTGTAATGATCCCTCATCCAGATATTAAAGATGTTAACGCTTAAATAGATTAGTAAAGAAGTCTGATTGATTAAAAGAAAGATTTTTTGAAAGGTATTTAAGTATAGATTGATGCAGAAAAAAGAGACATAGATAAAAAGCTTTAGGAATCACTGATCATGAATAAGAAAGAGAGTATTAAATTACAAGCTTCATATGAGTCCCCTGAAAATAGAAGAAAGACAATGATCAGGCCAGCCATGAAAATAAATTCTAGCCTAATGAACCAAGAGTACTACTCCTCTAATAATCTAACTCCAGAGTAATAGAAATAATGGTCAGTATCAAAGCCTTCCTTTAATCCAATTAATTCTAACAATAAGTCATTTAGCTTCAATAGACCATCCGAGTTGCTGAGTGTTTACTAAAACATACCTTAGTAATCAACTTCATCTATGATAGGCTTAATGACTAATTAGAGTTCAATAATTAATAAACCATCAGCCAGAAACTATCTAAATCTTAATATGCTTGAGAAAATTACAGATTAAAAATCTAATACCTCCTCTGAAAGCTCTAAGTATCCCAGTAATTCAAGAAGAGAAGATAAGAAACATTCATCTAGACAGAATATAAAGAAAGATCTTTCTCTAGAGGAATAAAAATAATAAATTCTAGAATAAATAAAGGAGCTGAGATATTAAGAAGAGCAAAGTTTATTCATTGAAATTGTGAAGCTACAATCAGGTAAAAGCTTTGGAGAAATAGCATTAATCAAGAATAAACCTAGAGCAGCAACAATTAAATGCAATACTGACTGTCATTTAGCAGTAATGTCTAAATCAGATTACCAAAAGGTTTTGCAACGTATAGAGTAAAAATCCCTAAATAAAATAGTTGATTTTCTACACTAGATTCCATTTCTCCATTCTTGGACCCGTACCTCGCTTTCAAAACTTTAATATTCTTTTGAATAAAGAATATATAAGAGAAATCAGACAATTTATAAGGAAGGAGAAGAAAGTAATTATGTTTATTTGGTAAAATCAGGAGAATTTGAGGTCTCAAAAAGAATATAATTTGAAGAGAAAAAAAAGTTAAATACCAAAGATTATCTAGGAGTAAAAGAAGAAGAAAAAGATGATCCAAAAAAAGTAATAAGTTATGTCAAAGTCAATTAAGATAGTCTTGATATGGAGGATTTTTTGGCTTAAACCTCAAAAGAAAAGAAAAAGAAGCAAAAGGGAAGCATATATATAGAGGATAATAGCAAGTTATAAAATCCTCAAATCTCATACAAGCTAGCAATTGTGGGTTGCGGTTAATTATTGGGCGAAGAAGATGTGCTATCAAATAATAGAAGATACACAACAAATGTTACCTGCAGTTCCATCTAAGGAGAAATATTCTGTATCAAGAGTGATGAGTTCCATCGAAGGGTCAAATCAAACAATGAGTCCTGGAAAGTTGTGATACTTATGGCACTTGCTAAAGAGAGAGCGATCAGAGCAAAGATTTTCAAAGTCAGAAAGATAATTTAAACAAAAAGGGAAGAGGGTTACTCAGCTCTTAACCAGGTTACAAGCTATTTACTAAATTAAAATGAATATGATCTTAGAGAAACAATCAGAGAAATCATTGACTAATTTCCCTCAGTAGAAGATCATAAAAAGTTGATTCAATATTATTCAGTAAGACCAGATTTCAATTCTAGATAGTAAAAGACACATTTAATTGAAAATGAAACATCAAGAATAGAGCATAGCAAATCTAAGGAGTCTAGGGTCAAATTTTCAAAGAAAACTATTGATATGAGTTTTAATGAGATGGCAAAAACCAGCAATATTATGATTCAAAATTTGAAAGATCAGAATCATTTTAGTACTAAAAGGGGAGAAAATAGTTAGGAGAGAAATAACTATAGAATGCAGAATCTCTATCATTAATCATTATCTCCAGTAAATAAAGATGAACATAAGTAATAGATTAAGAATTCCTCAAGCAAGTGCTATATATCATCGAAGATAGCTAATATTCTTGATGTATTCGAAAAAGAAGATGATATTGGAAGAGAAAATTCCCCTAGCTTTAAAATCAAGAGAAAATTATAACCAGACAAACTTGAATTCAAACTAGATAAGTAGAGCAGACTTCTAAAAAACATGATTAAAAACTAAGGAGAATAGACACCAAGCAAGACTCAAAGACCTCTCTCGAATAGCAAAACTACCAATGAAAAATTGAAAATGATTATTGAAGATCAGCAGATTACTTAAAATTTACTTGGAGGTGAATCAAGATAGGCACAAATGTAAGTAGAAGGACACTAAGCTCAGGGATAAATGATTAACTACTCGTAGTTTCTAGATAGCAAAATTACCCATTCTAAGAATCTACTATCATTTGACAAGTCAAACTTTCCTTAGTCAGAGTCATTCAGAATACCTTTAAAAAGCTTAAATATATTGCCAGTAGCCAGTTAAGTGAATCCTTTGAAAAATGAAGTGGTTAGCAGCAGTAACTAGATTAACTCAATTGGAAATATAGGTGATGCAGCAACTGTAAATAATAAGTCAGTTATTGGTGATAACTCAACAAGATACGCTAATTTTCAAAGCCAAATTAGGTCTAAAACACAAACTAAGAACAGAAGCGGAGTCATCTTAACTTAAAAAATGGGTATTGATTCTATAAAATTGATGCCACTAAATCATAGTATTCTAGGTAAACTTGAGGAAGTAACGATCCCTCTTGCTTAACCACTCAAACAAAATATCTATATGTCAGTAGCATCAACTATTAATCCTGCGAATAAATATAGAGCTTAAATTAAGAGGAATCTTGCTAACTAAAAGCATAAAAGACTTTCAATGAGAGAAAGATAATTTCAAAGATTATCTTCTAACACCAATGGTACCTATTTCAACCTCTCTCAGCATCAAATTTAAGATATATGAGATAAAAATCATTGAAACTCACATAATTTGAAATAATTTTAATTTCTTAATTTCATGATTTTTTGGCAATATTTTCTTTATGGGGTTTTGGGGTTTTGGGGTTTTGGGG